TCATGTGTAAATACTTGCAGCTTCTAATTACACCTTCTTTTGATTCTGAACTCACCTTCCTTCCCTGAGCCTGGGGCACAAGGGCCGCCTCACTGGGCTAACTTCCCTCGGTGTCTGGCCTGCCCTCCATTCAAGTTATCTGCTGGAGGAGGTTCCCCTCGGCGGGGCCCCTGAGAGCTGAGCCTGACCCGCAGGCCTTTGCAGATTCACTGGCTTCCTCAGGCCCCATCCTGCTGGGAGCCTCTCCGCTGTCGTCACCCTCACTCCCCAGACTCCTGGGTGCCAGAGAGTGAGCCTGGCTTCCTGCCCTGTCTCCAGGGAAGGGCTCCTCTCTGAAGGTGCTCCACACCCAAGCCTGCCCTCAGTGGACTCTCTGCCCTCATTGCCCCATCTCCAGGACAGGGGCAGGCTTGGACTTGCTCATGTCCTGCTATCCCGTGCTGGGATTACACAGAAGCTTTGTGTGGTCTTCCAGGATCCCTTTGAATGTGCACTGCAGGAGGAAACTCCGGCAGACTCTGACTTTTCTGGTCCCTCTGAGCTAAAAGAGTCCTACAGTCACTGAAGCCCTGAAATGTAATCTCACTTCAGAAATCAAATGTCCAGTCCTGTGGAATAACAAAAACTCTAAACTGAGAAAGATTTAGAGTCCTCATCTTTCTCCCAGCTCAGGCCTACTGGGTGGGGCAGTTGTGACTGACTCTCCTTCCCCTCTCCTCCCTTCAGCTGCTGACTATAGTTCCCCAGGGTTGGAGGAAGAGGAAGGAGATCTAGAGAAAGGTGCAAGAAAGTTCCAGGGTGGGCCTTCTCAGAACTTAACTGGTATTAAAGTTCAATCTTCCTCAGTAACTCCCTCCCCCTCATCATCACTGAGTTCTCTCACCTGTGGGTCACAGGCGAAAGGTCGACGCATCGCAATCCCGGCAGCTGCCTATGCTTCCTTGGTTCCTGGAAATCCAGCAACATCTCTGATTCTCCTGGCTGAGGTTCCTTTACCCCCAGGGCACTCAGTGAGCCAGCTTCCAAGTCCCTGCCTTCATCCTTTCCCCATTTCCCCAGCCCAGTAAAGCCCTCTGTCCCTGCGCCTCCATCTGAAGACCTTTCAGGTTTTCAAGGCTGGTCCAATCCAGTCTGCTCCCCAAACTGAAGCTGATACACATTAAGTTCTCCTTAAGCCCCTCTATTGTGAGAGGAAGGAGCTGCATCCTCCATTTATCCCCACTGTGTGCACAGGCACTGGAGCTTTCTCCAAAAATCCTCCCTGGAAACCTTGTCCTTTCACTTCCATTTTCAACTCTATTTTTAATATGGATCTTGGAGAGGGGGTTAAGAATAATCTGGTTTTTTCCTGACTCTGTGGGCCTCATTTTGGAACAGGGTTTCTGTTGTCTTGGTTCTTTAGATGTAACCCAAACACGGTAGGAGAGGGAAGCATGAGCAGAAGTCTTCCCTGGCCTCCCTTTGGGACTTTTTTTTTTTTTTTTTTTTGAGACAAAGCCTCGCTCTGTCGCCAGGCTGGCGTGCAGTGGCGTGATCTCGGCTCACTGCAACCTCCGCCTCTCAGGTTCAAGCGACTCTCCTGCGTCAGCCTCCCAAGTAGCTGGGACTACAGGTGCACACCACCACGCCCAGCTAATTTTTGTATTTTTGGTAGAGACGGGGTTTCACCATGTTGACCTTGTGATCTGCCTGCCTCAGCCTCCCAAAGTGCTGGGATTATAGGTGTGAGGCACTGTGTCCAGCCCCCTTTGGGACTTTAACATCACATGTTCCCAGGGGCTCTGATTGTTAGAATACAGATTGTCTCCACTTCCAAGCTGGGGCTTTTATGAATCCATAGTGTTAAATCTCTGGAGGAAAATAGGAGGATGATGTCTGTGTGTGCGTCCTTGTGAAAATCAGTACAGGTGTAGGTAGTCTTCCTCAGCCTCCACTCAAATTTACTTAGGCTTTCTAGCAAGAGCAAGAGAGCCATGATGTTTGGGATCGTTTTATGAATGTATCTTCTGGGTGCTTGGTACCCAGAAGTTTATTTCACCCAATCCCAATCTGTTTCCCTAATGACACAACTATGATGTATCTTGGAATACTTACCCCTTCTGTTAGTATCATCCAGAGGTCTAAAGGAACGGTTTGAAGAAGCATTCATATATTTTGGAAAATTATAGTCTAAGACACTGCCCAGTATATTACCTTGTATATAATACCTGTAATATACTACTTATTATATAAAAGGTAATATAAAGAGGCCAGGCGGGGTGGCTCACACCTGTAATCCCAGCACTTTGGGAGACCGAGGTGGGTGGATTTCTGAGCTCAGGAGTTCAAGACCGGCCTGGGCAACACAGTGAAATCCCATCACTACTAAAATACAAAAAGATTAGCCAGGTGTGGTGGTGTGTGCCTGTAGTCCCAGCTACTCAGGAGGCTGAGGCAGGAGAATTGTTTGAACCCAGGAGGTGAAGGCTGCAGTGAGACAAGATCATGCCACTGCACTCCAGCCTGGGTGACAGAGTGAGACTCTGTCTCCAAAAAAAAAAAAGTAATATATTGAGCAGTGTCTTTGACTATCATTAGTTACCTTCTGTTAAATGTAAACATATGATAAAACAACTACTGATGTTTAGTGCTAGAAAATATTTCTATCCCTAAGCAAACATTTATGCTTCCTTTTATTTGCCAGTGAGAACTATACAACTTGAAGTATTTCTTATTTTGCTTTCCTACCAGGAAGCTCAGCACTAAATTTAGTGTTCAATTGCAGCAACTAATTCATCCCAGCAATCTGGTGTGTTTATCTCGTTTCACTTTTATTTAGTTTCTGTTATTTTTCTCTTTTTAAAAGCTTTTGTTGGCCGGGTGCAGTGTCTCATGCCTGTAATCCAAGCACTTTGGGAGGCTGAGGTGGGCGGGTCATGAGATCAGGAGTTGGAGACCAGCCTGGCCAATATGGTGAAACTCCGTCTCTACTAAAAATACAAAAAAAAAAAAAATAGCCGAGTGTGGTGGTGCGCATCTGTAATCCCAGCTACTTAGAAGACTGAGGCAGAAGAATTGCTTGAACTCAGGAGGTCGGAGTTTGCAGTGAGCAGAGATCACACCACTGCACTCCAGCCTGGCGACAAAGCAAGACTCTGTCTCAAAAAAAAAAAAGCTTTTGTTATGGTTTTAGATATATTCTAACATTGTAAACCACCTCCAATCCTGTTTTTTTTTTTTTTTGTAGTTGTCAGGATGTATAATAAATCCAAAATAAATATGAATAAAACTCACATTTGTTCATTCTTTCAAAATTGTTTATTGATCACCTCCTACATGTCCAGCATTTTGCTAGGTACTAGGAGAAACTCTGGAGGGCAAACAGACCAGCACTCCCCTTGGAGAGCTCACAGGCACCAGATTCCCATGCAGGAGGAGAGCAATGAAAACCCAAGGCCCCAGGGAAAGAGCCTGAGAAGAAAAATGATGAAAGTTTGGAGTTGTAGCAGCCAGGAGAAACAAGTGTTTCCCAAGAAAAGGTAAATCCTCTGCTGCAAAGAGACCAAGTAAGACAAGAACTGAGATGTGCACATTTGGCAACAAGAAGGTCACTAGCTACTCTGCCAAGTGCAATTTCACTGGAATATTAAATGAGAGATAAAGAAATACGGTCATTAAGTGTCAACAACCCCCTTCACAAAGTTTGGCTGAGGCAGAGAGAGACCGGGTGGGCCACTGGGGAGAATGTGATGATTTGTGCTAAAAGTGGCTCAGCCCCATCAGGTACCATCTTGGTAATGTCAAATGATTATTTGAATTCCTGTTAATATCCAAGTCTTCTTGATGGTCTGGGAGACTTGGACTATCAGGTCGATGAGAGAGGAAAAACACTTCAGTTGCTCATTGCTTGGCTATCTTCTATTCTCTTAAATATCACTGTGGCTGTGGATGCTGTCTTCCCAGAGTACCCAAGAACCCATGAGCACCTTAAGGACTCTATTCTCAACTCAGATGTCTGGCACGCTTGGCTGCCAGTATACCGCTGGACTCCATCCCAGTTCAACTTAAGAACACCACACTTTATAAAATCTGCACGATCAATTCCTCTGCACATCAGAGGAAGTGGAGTTGGCCAACAAGCCCCATGAGCATGGGAAACACATTTACATTCCATTTTTCCAGGTCTGGGTTTATGTCCCTGCAGACCTCTGCTGGTTGGTTTCCGTATTCACCTGGCATTAGCTTGATTCATCATAAGGATAGCTCTAATGACATGACAGCAATCTGCGTTGTGATTTTAGTGTTGTGAACCTAAAAACAGTCCACGTATCTTCAAGGCAAGCATAAGGGTCATGAGAGGCCTTTCCAAATTTATTTTCCTAATTATTGATAGAAAAGTGGTAACTTTCTCCAAAATCACAGCAACTCAATGTATAACTAATTACATGATATTCTGCCTGCTATTCCTCCTCTATCATGTACTTAACTTGCACATCACATAAATGTTCAACAACTATTTCCTATTTTATAATGAGAGTTGTGCAATTGCTTACATTTCTTTCTTTATCTTGGCTGCCAGGAAGCTCATGTACAGGTTTTACTTTCAGATACAGCAACCTTCTTGAATTTTTCAGTTGGCACATTTATTTATCCACTTTCTTTGAGTCTATTTTTAAAATGTTTCCTCATTTTTTTTTTACTTACTATATACGATATTTTTGGAAGCTGATTCATACCTTTTTTGAAAATGAGGTAGGGAATAAATGAAATGAATGGATAATTATGCATTCCTCAGTTCCTTCTGCTTTCAACTTACTCTCATTTGTGATATGGAAGGAATTCTTGTTTTCAAAGATAAACTCCTTGCTATTTTACCAAAGACTTCAGGGGTGTGTGTGTGTGTAGCAAGATGCATTGTAGCACAATAGTTGAGAATGTGAACTCCAAAGACAGACCGCATGGGTTCAAATCCCAAAACTTCCACTTCCCAGCCTGGTGCCCTTAACCAAATTTCTTTCTTCTTTTTTTTTTTTTTTTTTTGTAGTTAGCTATTTAATGAGGTTCTTAAGACATTTAGAACACCAATTTGTGAGGATAAATTCCATTCATCAGGACAAACACAGATCGCAGGTAGCCCTGGAGCTGAGGAACATCTTTGATTTTTGGTAAAATTTGTGAGTCCATAGCTTTCTGATCAATCTCACACTGCTCTGTAATCTCGTATTTCTCTTTTTCTGTGTCGAAGATCTCACCTTCCTGGTGTCTGGGCTTCTGCAGCTTCTTCTTGAAGTAAGCATCAGTAAGATGTTTTGGGATTTTTACACTGCTGATATCGATTTTGGTTGAGGTGGCAATGACAAATTTCTGGTGTGTTCTTCGTAGAGGAACTCAATTGAGGACCAGAGGTCCAGTCACAGGTAACAAGCCACTAGCCAGCTGCTTCAGGAAAACCACCCTCTTGCCCCTGTGGCATTCAGCGAGGATGATCAGAATGGTCCCGGGGGTAATGCTGGCTCGCAGTTTTCTCACGTGCTGATTGAAGGGTTTTTTGCCGTGGCTCAACAGCTTTCAAGGCACATCTTCAGTAGGATAATATTTAGGCATTTTGCGAAGTTTAACCACCCGGGTACCACCGTTCTTGTCACCACCAACTGGTTTTGTAAGAGTTGCAAGAACCTTCTTTTTCTTTTCAACCTTGGATTTAGCGGCTGAGTACTTCCTGTTGTACATGGCCTTTCTGGAACACATGGCAGATCGGGAATACCTGCCAATTCCTCTGACAAGGACAGGGTTGCGGCTGCAGTGGGGCTTCCCCTTCTTGGGCTTCTTAGCCTTGAGGTTACCCTTTTTCACCTTGCCACCAGCATCAGCCTTCTTGGCTTCGGGTTTCTTCTCTTTAGTGTCTGGCTTCTCAACTTTTTCACCTGCCATCTTGCAAGATGGGAAAGAGAACTAACCCAAATTTCTTTCTTAATTCTGTGGACCTTAGTTTTAATTATAGAGAGTAATAATACTTACCTTATACTATGATTGTGAGGATGAAATGCTAATACATTAATACATGTAAAATGCTTGGAACATTAATGGTTATTGTTGGTGTGGGCAGGGCAGGGAGGTGGTGCTGGAAATCAAGTCCCTCTCCAAAGGTGGAGAGAAGGTGGCACTACTGGCTGCCCTTGGTTCCCTCCTTCCTCCCTCCCTCTTGCTACTTTAGCCAGACTGTAGAAGGGGGCTGGACAGTGGTAACTGGTTTAGAAATTTCCCTACTCTGCACAGCAGGTCTCGGTTTCCTGGTCAAGGTCCTTGCTCCACATGATCTCATTCTAATTTTCCCTACTTTACTTATTGAACCAAAAAACTCCATAGGGACTTATGTCTATTCTTATTTTAATCCATCTCTTGAGCTTTTCACTCCAATGGCTTTTTATAGGCTTTCTCTTTGCTTTTTGTTATTACTAGTCAGTCACTTTTATTTTTATATTTTTTAGTTATATATGTTTTATATTTGATATTTTATAGTTATATATGTTCATCATTAGAAGAGACAAATAGTCCTAGAAGGCAATCTTTTGTTCCCTTCCCCACAGAAGTAACTTTCAGCTCTTTTTAGCTGACTATTTGGGATTTATTGCTATGTCTCTAAATGACATATTTGTATTGTTTCTAGTCTGTTTATAGTTTGTTTTAGTGGTTGACATCATGCTGCTATTCCATTATGAAAGCAAGAGATTTTCTTTTTCATTCTCATGCCCTATCACAGCCATTCATCCTCCCTCATAGGATATATAAATAGTTATATCCTAATTTGATTAGGTCATTTGTGATTAGGTAAGCAGCTTTGATTGCTGGGCCATGTAGTGTACTAAGAATACGTTTCCTTTCCTATAGCAGTTTTTTATTTTTCATAGAATTAATGATTATTTTTCTCAAGTTCTATGATGTTGCTCTGGGAAGTGATGTCTTGAATATGGCCCCACAAGCACAGGCAACAAAAACAAAAATAGACAAGTGGGATTCCATCAAACTAAAAAGCTCTGCACAGTGAAGGAAACAAGAGACTAAAGATACAACCCACAGATTTGGAGAAAAGATTTGCAAATCATACATTGGACAAGGGGCTAACATCCAAAATACACAAGGAACTCAAACTACTCAATAACAAGAAAATAAATAACCCATTTTTTAAATGGGCAAAGGACTTAAATAGACATTTCTCAAAAGAAGACATACAATGACCAAAAAAAAAAAAAAAAAATACGAAAAAGTGCTTAACATTTTTAATCACAAGAAAAATGCAAATTAAAACCACAATGACATATCACCTCACAACTCTTAGCTTGGCTATTATAAAAAAGATGAAAGAAAACAAGGGCTGGTGACGATGTGGAGAAAAGGGAATCCTACACTGTTGGTGTATTGTAAATTAGTGCAGCCATCTTGGAAAACAGTATGGAGGTTCCTCAAAAAACTAAAAATAGAATTACCACATGATTCATCAATCCTACTACTGGGCATATGCCCAAAGAAATAAAAATTAATATGTCAAAGAGATATCTGCAGTCCTATTTTCACTGCAGCATTATTCACAATAGCCAAGATATGGAAACAATCTAAGTGTCTATCATGTATCAATGGATAAATAAATTTCTTAAATGTGGTATATATACACAATAGAATACTATTCCACCTTTTTTTTTTAAAGGCCCTCAAATTCTGTTATTTGAGACAACATGGATGAACCTAGAGAACATTAAGTGAAATAAGCCAGGCACAGAGAGACAAATACCATCTAATCTCACGTGTATGTAGTATCTAATCAAGTTAAACTCATAGAAGTAGATAGTTGAATAGTGGTTACCAGAAGCTGGGGGCAGAGGTGAATGGGAAAAAGGGAGATGTTGGTCAATGAGTGGTGCCAATAATTAACCTAAGAAGACACAGTTCTGCACACTGTAATCCCAATGATGAAATCCTGAATGATCAAAATTCCTAAAGTCTAAAATCCTCAAACTCTAAAACCTCTAATGTCTAAAATCTCCAAAATCACAATACTGAATATTGAAATACTAAAATCCAAATTCTGGGGAAGGGGTTAGTGTATTTTCAGTTGTATGTGGGATAGTTGCATCGTGTTAGTTGCATCATGTTGGGGGAACTATTAGCTTGTTATTGTCTTTATTTGGAAATTAAGTATGATTTAATGAAATGCATATGGATGCTAAGGTTAAAAGGGGTGGTCTTGTGGACTTAAATGTAGGTGTCAACTTGACTGGATTGAGGAATACTCAGAAACCTGGTAAAGCATGATTTGGGGTGTGGCTGTGAGGATGTTTTCTGACGAGATGAGTGTGTGAGTGTGAGTAGACCAGGTGGGGAAGGTCTGCTCCCAGTGTTGATGGGCACCATCCCATTGACTGGGGCCCAGAGAGGACAAATACAGAAGGCAAATTGGTCTTTCTCTGAAAGCTGGTGCAAACTTTTCTGCTGCCTTGGACATCAGAACTCCAGGCTTGGCACCCTTAAGACTCCAGGATTTACACTAGGGACCCTCTGGGGCCTGACGTTTTTGGCCTCAAACTGAGTTATAACATTGACTTTTCTGGTTCTAAGACCTTTGGACTTGAACTAAGCTATTCTATCAACATCCTTGGGTCTCCAGCATGCAGAGAGTCTGTCATGGGACTTCTCAGTCACCATAATTGCATGAGCCAATTCCCCTAATAAACCTCCTCTACTATATTAATACACATATCCTATTGGTTACGTCTCTCTGGAGAACTCTGACTAATACAGATTTGGTATTGAGGAAGCAAAGTATAATTTCTTCTTACTATATTCCTTATAACACATGAAAGAAATTTGTAACATTGTTCCCTTGCCAAAAGGCTATGATAAATTAAATATACAAGGCTACTTAATGGTGAAAGATGAAAGTTTAAAAGCTAATTATTATTGGTGCTTCAAAAGCGGAAAATCACTTAATTGCAACAAGCAAGCAATAACGAGACTTCTTTACATTTACAGCATATGCTTACAAAATTTGAAGACCACAACCACTCTCCAAATACAAATGCAGAAACTGATTTGAAGATCACACAAGTGACAACACAGGCAAAAAATGCAAGAAATCTCCCCTGCCAACTTATTCAACTATGTATGACTTCTGCCTCTTCACAGCGCCAATTTGCTATGCTATGTATTTCATCTTTGCATCATTTTCAGTACTAGATGTATAAATTGTATAAAGACTTTTAGAGTTCTAATTCATTTTATGCATTTTTTGCAGATTTGATTCCATGAAAGTGCATGATTGACTGTGTGTAATCATTGTGCGTGCACTTAAAAATGAAGAGATAAATGAAGAGATGTCCTTTTTATACATCTGCATTTATAAAATATAAAATTTCTTAAGATCTTGGCTGTTTGGGAGACTGTATATGTAGTGGTGACCTATCATGGTTTTTGATCAATCTTGTCAAAAGACATAACTTGTCTGTAATGGCATTTCAGATGACTGAATTTCAGATGTTAAAAAGCTGGGTGCACGCAATTGCCAACCATAGTGATGTATGTTTATACATTTTGCTCTTTGACATACTTCTTTATGAGTATGGTTTGTCTGCTCATAATTGTTATACTCTTGCAACTGTCGTTAGTATACCTGAGTGCTCATGTTTGCAAATCTACATATGTTATTGATGCCTATTTTATTGTATACAATGACCTATGAAGTGTTCTGTTGTGTTTTTATATGTTTTTCAAATAAATTCCCCTTTAGAAATGTGAACACATGTCTTTAAATTTTTAAAATTATTTTTTCCAGAATTATATTTTTGGGATTTTAGACTTCAGGGATTTTGATCTTTCGGGACTTCAACATCTGGGATGACAGCATTTAGGATTGCGTTTTTCAGGATTATGGCTCAAACCCATCAACAGGTACAAAGTTTCAGTTAGATAAGAGAAATAAATTCTGGTGTCCTATTGCACAGCATGATGACAAGTTAACAATAACGTATAATATATTGTATACAGTCACGTGTTGCATAATGATGTTTTAGTCAATGATAGACCACATGTACCACCATGGTCCCATAAGATTATAATACCATATTTTCACTGTATCTTGTCTATGTTTAGATACGTTTAGAGACACGAACACTTACCATCTTGCTACAGTCGCCTACAGTATTCAGTACGGCAACATGCTGCACAAGTTTGTAGCCTAGGAGCAATAGGCTATCCCAATAGCCCAGGTATGTGGTAGGCTATACCTTCTAAATTTGTGTAAGTCACTCCATGATGTTTGCACAACAATGCAATTACCTAAAGATGCATTTCTCAGAATGTATCCTTGTAGTTAAGTAACACAAGACGGTATTTCAAAATTAACTAGAAGAGAGAATTCTGAATGTTCATGCCACAAAGAAATGAAAAATATTTGAGGTGATGGATATGCTAATTAGCCTGATTTTATCATTCCACAGTTTATACATGTACTAAAACATCACATTGTATCTCATAAATATACACAATTATTATTTGTCAATTACAAAATAACATTTTTAAAAAGTTGTTTTTCACAATTGTCTATCACAATTGTTTAGTTTTTTACGACTCTATGGTTAATTTAATCTGAACCCTCTGACAGTTGTTTAAATCTTCTCTCAGGATATTCAAACACATCACATATTCCATCAATCTTCACCTTCCCAGAGGACTTGCCTGGGCCCTTCTAATCAGCCTTCCCCTGGATTCTCCCTTCATCCTTATACTGGGAACGCCTCTCCTTGTCTCGAGTTGAATCCTTCATTGTCTTTTCTCTTCATTTATGCTCTTGTTTTGGTGGATCCTATCCTCCATTTGCTTCACTTTTAAGTTTATTTTTTTAACTGACAAGTAAAATTTGTATACATTTATGCTATACAACATGATGTTTTGATGTCACATGTCACATCAAAACATCCTGTACACCATAAATGTATGCAAATGTTCCAAATGTTCCATGTTGTATACAAATGTTCTGTGTTGTACACCATAAATGTATACAAATGTTCCACATATGTATACATTGTAGAATGGCTAAGTCAAGCTATGTAACATATGCATTACCTCACATGCTTTTTCTTTGTGGTGAGAACACTTAAAATCTACTATTTTAGCAATTTTTAAATATACAATACTTTGTTATTAACTGTAGTCACCATGATGTCGGTAGTTTTTTGAGAAAGAGTTCTTAGAAGAAAAATTTTTGAGACCATGTATGTATAAAAACATCTTTATTTTACCTTCACACTTGATTGATAATTTTGCTGGGAGGAGAATACAAAGTTGGGTATGTTAATTCTGTTCCACAGTTATGGAGGCATTGTTCCACTGTCTGTAGCTGAACAGATTCTAATTTCTTATCCTTCATA